TTGTTCAATGCCAAAACCTAACCAGCCGTCTGAAGGAATCAATCTTACGACCTGTTTGTCAATAAACTGACGCACCTCCAACTGTGCTATATGCGACTTCTTGCACTGCATGTGTTTAATGGATTGCACTGGTCTTTAAATGAGCGACGTTTCATATTTGTTCACACCATTTGTCGATTTTTGTTTAAAGACAACGCAGACGGAGAGGTACATGTAGAAGACGGCTCGATTGGCGAATCATTCATAGCGAATCCGTCTAAGATAATATCAAACGTTGTTATTTGATTCCCTACCTTAGATCCTAAAAATCTATGTAGATCTGCTTAATAAAACTAGCTAGCACATAACAGTAGTAAAATAACAGACCCTTCACAATGGGATCTTGGTGGAAAACTAACAACAAGCACACATACTTTGGTAATTGTAGGTCGTTACAATGTTTTCTAAAAATGCAAACTGTGAGGATAGCAGGAAGTTTCTTAAAACAGACACCTCGGTAAGGTAAGATGTTATCAAATACAGACACCGCGGTGATGTTTGGACGTTAAGAAAAACAGACATCGAGTTAATGATAGGAAGCTATCTAACACATATACCGCGGTGATGGTAGGACGTTTGTTTTGTATCTATTAAGGAGATCATAGAGTTTTATGCGCGTTCTGAGTGAATAGTTAAGCTATTTTAAAGATGAAAATGTACATTATGAATTCAAAAAGCAAAGCCTAACAGAACGTATGTCTCCATGGGTTCGTTTTTAATGCAAACAAAATCTTTGTCATCGAATGCATGGGAGATGGTTCCTGAAACAGTGCGCAATGATATTATGTTTTAATATTCATATCATGTTGGAATAAATATTTATATTCTTAACCTTAAAAAGTAAAATGATCAAAATCAAATTTACCCTTGGCAGACATTTGACATACCATTGTTATATAACACAGTTATAGTAATTACAAAAGGATTTACGACAGAGCGTCTGTAGCAGAGGGCCGGAATAGAAAATTCACTTCGTTTTAATACCTTTTCCTCTATCAAATGACTCCGAAAAAGCAACAGAAAAACTCTGGAAAACATTTCCCCTAAAGCCACGTCAATGTTAATATGAATACGTCATATTTGGTATATTTTACAAACGGAGCGGATGGGATACCCTAGTAGACTGCTATTATATGGCTAATTGGCGTCCATGTAGATCATCCGTCAGTTTGACTGGTATCTCTTCAGGGTGTGACCCTCCCAAAGTCTGACGTTTCGTTGGAAACGTATGCTAAGAAAGGTACTCGCTTATTGGTGATAATTGAGTTATACCTATAACCTGACGGTCAATGCGTGTCCTATATCCCGTAGAATTTCGTTAGTCCTATCACTGAAAGGTCAGTGTATGCTTTTTTCCTACGTATCAAAGACAAGGATTCGGTGATTGTATTATCAAACAAATAATAGGATAACCGTAGAAATGCATTGATCTGTTTAGCTTGACGGTATCACAGATTTGAAATCTTCTGTCGAAAAATGTCGGCGGTTTTTATGTACACGTAAAGGTGGCAGATGTACAGTGTAATAGTTGTCTTTAAAAATTCTTCCTTTTCTTATTTCTTTTCTTCCGTCACAATATGTTAATATATGTAATTGACTTTTGACGTGATATTGCACCGAAGATAGGCGCTGCAAAAATTTACAAAGGGAATACGTGTAAAAATGAAAGTCATATCATAATTGGCGCCAATAATAAAACCAAAGTCATTTGAGAGTTTGACGCATGGACATTATCCTTGTTATCCGAAGCAAAGCGACAAGACTCTCACTGGAAAAGGTTAATATATGACAACATTATTACATCACGACAGGTATTGCTTTCATACTCAAATGAAATGCATTTCTGCTGGTAATGTTCATCAAATGGGTTGCAGCGCAAATATAAATATAGATAAATGCTTACAGTAATCCTTCCATAGAATAAAGGCTTTCTAAGATAACGGTTGTTAAGAATAAACTAACAGGAACAGTTTTTTGGTTCTTATTTCCTTTTTTTTATAGAGGTAAATATAATGATAAAGAAATGTAAGATTAAAATTGTTTTTCCTGTGGTTCCTATAGTATTGGTGTATGTTGTACATGCAACTTACTTCTCAAACATTCTGGAATAATAGACATAAGCACTCAATACTAAATTAAGGAAATATAAATTGGTTTAACAAACAGTGTAACACTGTCATAGTTTATAATATATCACGTAATTATCCTGATATAATTAAATTACTAGATTATTATCTAAAACGAGTTATTGCATTTGTCCTCATGAGATGTCAAGGTTAAACTTTAGATGTATTAGTTGTAATAATTTTGTAAGAGAAAAAAATAATCCTGAATTCTGTAAATGAGAAGGTATCATAATCAAACTTCTGTACATAAACTGCTGACGACGCTAGTCTCATAATTACTGCGTTGAACCTTGGGGCTGTGGGACTGGTTTGTACAGCTGTGGTATCAGTAAATCCAATATGTATTTTGAAATCATTCTATCATTCTTCTTATAAGTCAATTGGATTGTTATTGATTACATCAATAAGAATGATGTGTCAGACTAGAAGTGTGGTAAACACATAGCTATTAATGACTTGTGATGGTATTTTGTGTGCGGTTGTTCCACATAGGGATACTGATGTAACTCATGATCATGCTGGCTTTATAGGTATTAATGCAAGTGTCTCACATGGTGATCCTTGCTCGGGATGGTATTAAAGGGACAGACCCAAATACATGTAGTAAAGCTGGTCTTAAATGGTGTTTTATCCGAAATGTCACATTTGGTATTCAATATCTCAGATGATATATTTCATCGGCCGTCTCACATAACGAACAATAGATTAATAGAGGTTGTGTATATTACATACTTATCAATTTTAATCCTTTTGAAAATTACCGGTATTAAAACCACGTAGTAGGAACTTAGGAAGATAGAGTATCATCTAAAATATTAAATAACAACTGAAAAGCAAGGAAATAGTTTCTGAAATTAGTATAAATTGATACGCGATCAACAACCAAGTATTCGTATTCCTATATGTGCCAAGGTCAGACATTACCTCAGTTTCGCTGAAAATCGTGTTAATTTGAAATGAAAATAGAACTCGCAATGCAATCTTTGAGCAATTAAATTTGTGTTTTTTTATATTTTAAATGCATCCTTCATCGTTTATAAACACAGTCTCACCAAGGGCCTAACGACAATTCAGTTTAATCTGTAAATTAGTTAGTCGTTCCTAGAATTTGAGTGCGTGACTCAACAAATAACCTAAGAAGGGCGACCTTGGGATCTGTGTCATAGAGCTATTGGCAGCTTCCATCCGGCCACTGTACATCAAAGTCAGGCTTGGGGTGTAGAAAATATCCAACGGATCCAGACGTGACAAAAACTTGAACGAGAGTCTTAAACAGTTGATGGGATTAGAAAAACATATATAACAAAACGTCGTATTCCTTTGAACTATAATTGAGAATATAATGTCAATCAAATTAACACCATTTATCTTTTGCTTTAACCAAAAGAAAATCAAGTCGCATGTTCTGCTTTCTGTTGAAGGAAAGCATTGTTCAAACTTAGGTAAAGTGTTTAATGTACTTAAACCATGTTCGCCTTGCTATCTTTGAAACAACCTGACCTTTTTTGTTTGCTATCAAAAATTAGCAAAGATGAAATAATAATACAAATAGTAACAAATATTTTTCTAACAGAATATTTGTATCAAACGGTAGTGACAGTGACACAAATCCAGGACAAAAAAAAGCAACGATAATGAGGATCTCAAACGAGTATCCATTTCTTATGATTTGTATAGACGATTTCCATTTAAATCCTATTCTCTATTTATTTATGTTGATGATTTAAAACAAGTTATCTTTCCTGTTCTATATATAGAGGTTCTCAAACAAGTTCCTTTTCCTGAACTGTAAACAGAGGTTCGAAAACGAGTTTTCTGTTCTACAAATAGATGTTCTGAAACATATTCGCTTTTCCTACGCTAAATGAAGAGGATATCAAACGTATTTCTTTTCCAGTTTTATATTTTGAGGATGTCAACAAGTTTCCCTACCCGTTCTACATGTATATATAGAGGATCTCAAAGGAGGTCGCATTTTCTATGAAGTACATCAAGAGAAAGGTTTTTGTTAAGAAAGAACAATATCGGGATACACAGGAACACCAAAACCAGAGGAAATACTGCAAGAGCCCAACCAATAGAACAGACGGTGCCTCCGAATTGTAGTCGTTTTAACGCTGAGGATTCCAACATCTCCACACAAACAGAACGTCGCCTAGAGCATATACGTGAGAAGTTAAAGTTGTTCTACAAATATGATACCACATACTAAGAACTTGTTGGAGATTATTTTGCTTGTGTCAGGACGTCATATAAACTGGCATGTTTTCTAAAACTATTAAAGATACATTTATTGATAACTAATGGGGCCTGCACATTCTGTTTTGTGACTTCGCCTTCGCTTTTAGTACAGAGTTCTCAAATTTGATTAACGAAGGTTATATTCCATTGCAAAATTCTGGGGTATATAATAAATACTCCTCAGTATTTCAATAGTGAACTACAATACCTCACATTAATAACCTTTTGGCAATCGGAAGTCAAGAAGTGTTAAACATTCATAAAAAAGCATTTCTCTCACATGACGACAAGGAAACTGCAAGACATAAGAATGCAAATAGTCCAAAGGCACGTTTTCATATGTGATACATACAAACACATAAGCTAATATAATGGTTTGATGACGTCATTGTGTTGTGTTGACGTCATGATAACAGTGTTGTGACTTCATCAACATCAACGGCATAGTTACTCAACATGTTTGTCAAGATGGATGTGACATAGAGGTCCAGTGACATTTAATCCCTGACGAAGGGCTAAGACCGAAAGCCTGATGATTAATCCATAAAGGTAAACAGGAGTTGGATAATCTATTTTTGATAAATCATTGCTTACCTCCAAAGTTTGGCCTGAGTCTTATATCATATCCTTCCAACATGTCCTCTATAGTAGCTGATGTGTTGGCAAGAGGAACGGTGTCGGACGCTCTGAAAACAGAGATGAAGGTTTCAGTGAAACACACGCTACTACTGTACAACATAAAATGTTAAAAAATATGCGTTTGCTATATCACATCACAAACGTAAAGCTGTCGTTTTTAATAATTGATTATGGAACAGAGCAACAATGGAATTAATTAATGTAGCAATGATAATGAAATAAAGGAAATCTAAAAGAAAAACTATCTGTATCTAGACCATGCAAATATCCATTCTGTAAAATATACCTATTTATTACAAGCAGAAACAGAAACCAACGTACTGGTGTTATTTTATCATTATCATTTAAATAATTAAAAAGTGACCTTATTTTGTAACAAATGCAAAGTGATCAGATATCAAGAAAACAGGAATACACATGTTTAAGTAGCTGGATTTTGAAGGCATAAGGGCAGTCTTGTTACGTTGGCATTTAATACTTCTCAAGCAATCGATTAGATATTGCGTACCGTAAAGGCAAACTGTCCATCTATGTACAAAATATATAGCCCTGTAAACGACCACAAGTAAACAATGATTATTGCCTCAGCCACGAAACACACCATTTATATACCGTACATAAGTGAAGTCCAAGGACAATCAATGGAGGCGAAACTAGTTTCTACATAAATAGTATGTTTCTCTCATTTTTATGACCTTATCCCGTAAATGTGGAGGAAATAACGTTTTAGTTGTGTAACTTCCAGCGGTTCTGTCTGCCAGGGATGTCTCTTTTCCATCAGAGCTCTTGTCAAGGTTACTAGAAACATGTATGACCTACGTTAGCCATGTTCCTGGCTTACTGGTCTGTAATACAATGTGTACTGACCTAGCGATGATCTTGAATCCTGACTGAAATGTCTGACCTGATGTCCATACAAATAGTTTACTCTCAGCTCTAGCGTTTCGTTTGTATAAATTCCTCTTTACCCAGGTATGTCTACACATATCACATGACAACGATATTTGTTCTCATTTGTACTGAAATAACAATATATGTATATAAACATAAGGCTTTCGGTTTCGTAGAAATGTTTTGTCGCAATTATCACACGTGAATCCATTTTGTAACCGTAACGAAAACTCAGAGAGAACTAGGCTCTTTTTGAGGAAGGGAATTTGCATGCATGTACTAATGTTTTACTGAATACACAATCATCAGGGATCGACAGTCTAAATCAGTGCATCTTAAATCTTCGCATTTCCGTTATGATAATTGATTCCACATCTTTCATGTAGCTTAATATTTGTAGTCAATAGATGTATATGGCAGCAGATGAAACATTCGAAGCCATCATGGACATAACGGGTAAAGCCTTGCTCACTAATTGACATGCAACATAGGAACAAGCTTACTAGCAAAGTGTGCAATAAGCAGTGGATGTAGAAGAATAAAGATGTCTCACAATACTGCCGAATTGCGGTATACCACGAAACATGGCGAGTACTTTAAATTGATGCTGTCGATTCCCATCACTTTTAAATTAGTTCCTGCTCCTACAGACTAGCACATATATATGTATTATTTAGAGAATTGATAAAAGGGAATTAGAGAATAATTTATTTACATACAAAAAGGACAAGAAATGTCAAACTTAAATTCTTTGCGCGCAAGGAAAAGGACAGCTCCGAATACATAACGGGGCTAGTACACGCTAGTTATCTGTTGGAAGTTAGACGCGTCTTAACATGCTTTCAGTTCATCGTACCATACAAGGTTACCTCTTGTCAGCAGTTAGTATACAAGAGAAGGCTATGTGACATCCGTACGCTTCTAATAGGTTCAATTAAGTTCATTCATGGTGCAACGATATTGTATTTGACCGATTTATATTGTAAAATAAATTTTAAAATATCTCATGGTTATGGTTACAGTTATTACGGTACAGTTACGACAGAATACACACATGTGCATTAATTAAAAAATCACTTATAATAGTGATAATATGTACAGTGGAGTACATGGGGTATATCTAATGATTTCCCGCTGAGTAACATATTATTGAGTATGAAATAATACGGATATTTTTTACGAGTGCGAAGTATACTACGCCATATATATCTAAACATCTAAATTCTCTTCAGAGACAAAAACGAAAAATGTACTGCATCGAAACAGTAGGGGATGTAAAATCGGAATAACATTCTAATGACGTCACGCTTGACAACGAGGCTTTTGTACCATTTTGACGGGCTACTCAAATGGGGTCATACAGTTTCCAGGTAATATTTGACACTATCCTCTTACAAAATGTTTTAGAATGTGTAGCAAAGTTGAACCAAAACAACAACTTTTTCTGTCGTTGCTTTATTATCATCTGCCCAGAAGATCTGCGGCTTTGTGTAAAGTCAGTAAATATAGGAGGAACCGTTTTGGTTTGTCATTACCAAAAATAACATCCCCACACTGATACAGATATCACTTTTGATATCTGCCACAGTATGGAAGATATCGGTTAGATCATGTCGCTACGAGTATTCGAGTCTTCGAGTAAATTGAAACTCTTTATGGTGATGCAATGTAAAGAAATTATTTTAAATGAAAACGAATTTTGCAAGAGCTGTAGTGAATTGCGATCTGGAATACAAATAATTTACAGTAGAATGTAGCAGTTTAAGTAGGTAGAAATTGTATTGTATAGCACAATGTTGCAGTCCAAGTGTGCAGTAATTGTATTGTATAGTACAATGTAGCAGTCCAAGTGTGCAGTAATTGTATTGTATAGTACAATGTAGCAGTTTAAGTAGGTATTAATTATATTGTATAGTACAATTAGCAGTTTAAGTAGGCAGTAATTATATTGTATAGTACAATGTAGCAGTTCAAGTTTTTTTTTGTGTGTGTGATTTTTTTATTCGTTTATCGCTTGAACAGGAAATTTTGTTTGAGCAAAGAATCTGAGATTGAATTTAAGGTTTAGAACGTTCTGAATACGGGACAAGATCAAACATTAATAGAGTAAAAGTACCAACAAACGTGGCGGTATTCTATGTCGCAGTTTTGGTGTAGTTACCATGGAATTAAATATACTCTCATGAGATTCTTTTTAACGCCAATTACGCAATCGAACATCTTTGCAAATTATTACAGCTGATACGATACATACATTCGACACAGAATATCAATTTGCTATGTTATTTAATAATATCTATTGTTTTTTTATGTTTCGACTACGTCTAAAGGTTTGGAAACATGTATCAATCAGATAAAAGTAACTTCATACCGAAAATTATATGATTTGAAAATTTTGATTAAAACCCTTGGTCTGGAATTACTTTCTAAAGACGCAATACTTTGTATTTACCAACATACAAAAATTAAAACCATCTACATAAACGAATTTCGCAAAAGAATAATAAACAGGAAAACATTTTGTTTAAATGTGATTCGATAATTACGTCAATAATTATATAATCCACAATGCCCACGATGCCCCTGCAATGTCTCCACCCTCAATCCGCCTTAACCCCACTCACCCTAATCACTATCCATGACCCACACGTCTGCAAATCCGCACGGACAAATTCGCGTCAAATCCACGTATTAACACCCAAGAGAAATGAGCCATGCAATATCGTCAATACTTCCTACTTATGACGGTCCCTGCGTAATTTTTTCTCTCTCTTTTTGCTTTAAGACATTGATGAATGTAAGGAGAAATGTGAGTGTCTGCGTCTCGTATGATTGATCCAGTTAAAACCATTTGTATTGATGAAGAGAAGTACTTAAGAATTTTGGCCAAAACAATCCAAGCGATTTATTTTATGAAAGTATATAAATGTTCGTTTTGCATCATAAAAAATGGTTTCATATTGAAATAATCTTAAAGCATTGATTTACGTTTTGGTATATTTTGCTCAAATTACAAACGGCTTTGGAGTAAACAACTGAAATACTGGGCAGTATTAAAATTATCGGAAACAACTCTTACGTTTTCTCAATGATTTCATAGGATGCAACTTTGATGGGCCCTTGCAGTGACCATGACTGTCCAGATTACACAACGTGTGTCCGTCTGTATTCCTCATCCCGGGTTTGTGTTGTATCAGGTTAAACTGTTTTATTCTTTTCGTGTTTAAGTATATTTTTTTTTTTTATTTTGTACTAGAAATACAATATCATGTTAAAAGTTAAGTTACATGTAAATACAGTATCAAAATGTACTAGAAATACAATATAATGTTATAACTCAAGTTATATATCATAATGTACTAGAAATACAATATCATGTTACAATTTAAGTTACATGTATACATCATAATGTACTAGAAATACAATATTATGTCACAATATAAGTAATATATCATAATGTACTAGTAATTGTATTGTATAGTACAATGTAGCAGTCCAAGTGTGCAGTAATTGTATTGGCACGCTGGTGGTTGCAGTGTTCCCCTGAGCTAGTATTGATTAAAATGTTAGAAGAGAATTGTGATATTTAATTATAATAGTCATGTAGACAACCTGTCATTCGAAAGTACATATTGAACAACATATTGTGTTAATTTGAACGTGTTCTTATTGCTAAACCAACTGGTAATTAACCCAATTGCTTATAACTTTGTACTTTTGTATATAAACGAAAAAAGGCTCATCGCCTATTTTTCCTTTCATTGTCTGATTACAGAAATAGTCAAAGACATTTCAACATTTCAAAATTTTGCATAGGAAAATAAAAATTCTAGCGTACTATTTGCGTGTTGTTTACCGTACTTGTACCGATAGTTTTGCATAATTGCATTATAGATTTTGTACAGCGCTGCTGATATGGAATTTTAGACAAACGCGTAGAATAAATGTTTTTATCAGTTGAGGTCCTTCCTGGAAGATTTATGTGTAAAACATTCATTTGATTCTTTAAATCGTTACAATATTGTCGATGGACCATCGCCGTTTCTTATCACATTTCGAACTAGAGTACCTAAAACATATTGATCCTAGGCCAAATGCCGTTCAAATAAAAGTGTCTAATTAATTAGAAAAACCCCTTTAAGTCATCACATGTTTT